GTGAGCTTGGAGTCCAACTATGTTTCCCCATGTACTTTTTCACACCGAACATGGATCTAAAGTCAAAAGTGGGGGTCAGTGGACATACAAAAAAACTAATTTAATTAATGTTACACATTTTGACATTTTGGTGGATGTGAATATCTTTAGAGGTCTCTGAAATGTGCACCTACACCAAAAATACAATTTTCTAATTCTGGTGTTTACCCTACCTGCATATTTGTCCATCTTAGCTCAGTTTTGAATTCAGATTCGTGTTCAGAGGGAAAAAATACCTGGAAATAATAAAGTGAGACCACACCACTTTTTACTTTTTTGTGAACCTGTGGATCGCTTTCATGCATTTTCTTGAAAATGTGTGCACCGTCCTGTAATTTTGACTTCAAACTCGTGTTTAGTACGAAAAACTACATGGGAAAAGCATAGTCGAAACCAAGCACACACCACTTTTTTTATTTTGTGGGTCTTAACAAGTGAATCAAAAATGCCATTGGTCATTCTGAGTATACTCGTATTGTTGTGAAGCGACTTTTGCATCATTAAAATCTCATAAGAACCGCCAAAAACTGACTCGGTTGATCCGATCAACATGGGTAAAATAACTCAAAAGCGGCTGTTCCTCAAAGAACAATGGCATATGAAGTGTTTCACTGCTCTCTTCCATATTGGTATGTACATGACTATAGCCATGCACCACAGGATACAAGGTTGATTTCAGATGCTAGAGTCTGGATGGACTAGAGGGAATGTGAGGTTATGCTACTATGCTAATCTGGATTCAACCCTCCAATTCCCAAGATCCCCCAGAGGAGACCATTTTCAATATTTTTTAAAAAATTCAGCCTTAAGTTGACATCGGTCGTTCTGATCACTGAGATGAAAGTGAACATCAATTTGCAAAAAAAATGGATGTAACCTCAGCCTTGTAAAAACATGAACAACGTGGTTTGAGACCGGCTTTTATTCTCGTTTAAGGTGGGTTCCGAAACATTCATATTACGACTCGTTTTTTTAATGTATTTTTGTTCAAATAATCATATTTTAAAATGTTATTGCGAGTAATTATTTACTTACTTTTCATGTTTGAAATCTCAGGTCCCCTCCACGAGACCTCGGGCAACGTTGATTGTATTTGTTTTTATTGAAATATGACTGAGTTCCAGATATAACTTTTCTCTTTAAATACAATCCTAAGTAAAATAGAATAATCATTTCGCGTTAAGTGATTTCATTATACACTCACAAGAATCTAAAACCAAGTGAATTTATAATAGAATTTATTACGTAAATAAAGTTCTTAATGTATCTAAAATTGTACCCATTTGCGTCTTTCGTTCATGTTCCATGCCCAGGGTCTCCTGTAGGGGATCGTATGTTATTGCATATATGTGTAGAAAAAACATTCATTATATTTAGTTAGCCTCAATAGGATGAATAATAAGCCAAAAAACGTTTAAATGAATAGTTGCCGAGCTAAGGGCATTGGATAGTCAAATGCAAACAATACTGATCAATTGGGCAACAAACTAAACATTTACATAATAAAACATAGAAAAAGTAACTGATTTATGCAGGTATTTTCCCAGTTTCTCTATGAGTGCTAGTGTAGTCAGTCTTTATAGTCTAATCATATTAGCAAATTTTCACGAAATAATTGTAAAGACTGGTTTTATTGGCGCAAGTTGGTGAAGGGGGTATTTCAAATATGGATGCATAAAACGGGTACACCAATTTATGTGGGAAAACTTTTTATTTAACAGCAGAGAATGAGAAAACATGTTTTTTGGGATTCAATCGAAAGTGTCGGCAGGAACGAAAAGCCTCTCCATATAAGATTTTCAGATATACTAAGTGACATATAAATCCGAACACCCAGTTTAAATGGTTTTATTTTAATAAAATTGTATAAGTACTTAATGAAGCATAATAAGTAAATGATAAAAATTTCAAAATGATTGCACTGCTTTAAAGCCCTTTGACCTTTAATAATGTGTGGATGCACCCTGATGTGCTACGCATTCTCCAACGCGCCTAGGCATGCTTCTGATCAGTTGGTCAATGTCCTCCTGTGGTATCTCATTCCAGCAACCACCAACTCCTCTCGAAGTGCTTCTAGAGTCTGAGGAGGACGTTGCAAATTGAGCAATCTCCTACCCATCATATCCCACACGTGCTCAATTGGTAACAATGTGACATCATTATGTTGAAAGAAGTCTATTGTGACTCTTGCAACATGTGGTCGGGCATTATCTTGTTGGAAAGTTGGATCTGCCAGGGTGTCAAGATAGGGTAAAGGATGGGGTTCTAGAACTTCGTGGATATACCGCAGCGCGTTCATGTTACCTCTGATGAAGATTAAATGTGACCTGGAACCATAAGCTATAGGACCCCAAATCATAACTCCAACAGTGTGATGAACATGTCTTTCAACAAAAAACTGTGGATTCCTCCTTTCACCACGTCGCCTTCTAACCCTGCCACGACCATCGTGCATGCCTAAACAAAATCGAGACTCGTCACTAAAGACAATACTGTTCCATTCCTGATCCCAGAGTGACCGTTGTCTGCACCACTCATTACGTCGGTGTTCTCGAGTTAAAGGGAGGACCCAGTGTGGCCGGTATGAAAACAAGCCAAAACTTCTCATTCGTCAGTAAACACTTCGCTTCGCATGCCAATAGGTCTTCCGTGTTCTGCAAACCATTCATTTGCAATGGACCTGGTAGTGGAGAAACGGTCCCTTAAGGCCAATAATCTTAGGCGGCGATCTTCACGGTCTGTTGTTCTACGGCGGCGTCCAGTGCCCCTTGCTCTTTGCGTACGGCCTTCTCGAAGCCATGCCTGACAACACCTAACCACAGTGTCTACACTTCTTTGCACTCTAACTGCAATTGCCCGAAAAGAAAGTCCAGCTTCCCGAAGTCCCACTATACGGCCCCTATCAAACTCACTAAGTTGACGAAATCGTACAGGTCTCCGTACTCTAGGCATCGTAACCGATCGTAAAGGATGTCAAGAACCAAAATCCGCCAACGTTGATTCTTTACTGCGGCTGAAATATTCATTTTTAGAGCGTTAGTGAATTAAAAAAAAGCAGTATAAAAACCGGAATGTCCAACTGATAATACTAAAAATTTTTTCACTTGTTATTTACAGTAAGATAAATACATTCACCAACTTTTATTAAAATAAAACCATTTAAACTGGGTGTTCGGATTTATATGTCACTTAGTATATTTATGAGACCTACAAAATGAGACCACACGTGAAAAGATAGCAAAAATATTATGGCGGCATAACGTGTCAAAATGCAGGTTTTGGCACTTGTTGGTAATGCGACGATGATTTCACGTAACTACTTGAAATTCTCCAAATCCGTAGGATTCATACTTCTAAATAACAACAACAAAATTGGAGTATATTGGTCAAATATTTTTTTTTTGGATTTTTTATTGTTTATTCCAAAACATCTGTTCTCCGGACATCACTACTACTTTATTGAGCAATACACAGAGTTCGTTTGAAGATCATTTCATAGCAAAATACAGATATGAATCACAAACCATTCCGAAAGATAAATGCTATTTTTATGGGAAAAACAAAGGTTACGTTTTCTTCTTCTAAACAAAATCAAACATGTCGTATTTGTATGTAATTGAACAAATACGCTGCGATATTCGAATAACATGCTTTACACTACTCACTTTAAAACAAAGCGGATGTGTCTATCATCTTTTGTTGCGAATTACTCACAAATACGAAATGTTTAAATTTGTTCAGAAGAAAAAATGTAGTCCATCCTTTTTTGCATAAAAATAACATTTATCTTCCGGTTTGCAATTCATATCGGCAAGGTAAGCTAGTGTATTTTGCTTTAAAATGTCCTTTGAACTAACCCTGTATATTGCTCAATAAACTAGTAGTGATGGCCGGAAAACAGGTATTTTGGGATAAACAATTAGAAATTTTCAAAAACTTCTTGACCAATCTACTCCAATTTTGTTGTGGTTATTTAGAAGTACGAATCCTACGAATTTGATGAATTTCAAATATCTGCGAGAAACTATCGTCGCATTACCAACAAGTGCCAAAACCTGCAGTTTGCCTAAAAATCTTATATGAAGAGTTTTTTAGCTTGTCAACACTTTCAATTTAATCCCAAAAAGCATGTTTTCTCATTCTTTGTTCTCGAATAAAAAGTTTTTTCAGAAAAATTGGTGTATCCATATTGTGGCGTGTTTTGAGGAAATAGGCACTGGTTCTAAGATTGGGTTTATTCAAAGATACATGCGTCTGTGATTTTACAATATAAAAATGATGCGTTGGCTTGTGAGTTTATGCGAAGACGCAGGGGGGGGGGGGTGAGTGCATACGTGACCAAGACGGCGGCGTCTTCCCGTGGTTCCCCCAGCCCTGCGTACACCTGGACTCATTGATAGGACATGCAGGGCGCTTCACTGAGTGACAGGTCATGAGGTACAGAACACATATTATGCGTCCCTGTTTTGAATAACCAGTTTAAGAACTTGGCAGCAATAAAACCAGACTTTACAATTATTTCACAAACCACGTTTATTTTCGTCTAATATGATTAGACTATTAGCTACGTTATCTTTTTAATGGTGAAGTCACTATTATTGAGCGCAGTGCCCATTGGATGTAGTTACTGTCTCGGCAGTTAAATAATTGTAATAAAACTCATAGGTAAATAACAATGCCATTTAAAGTTGTAGCCTGCTAATTTTGACTATCTTCGAAATATTTGGAACAAAGAGAGAAATAAGGAATGTTAGGTATAGGCTCATCATGAACGAGCTATTTCAATAACCTAGGAAACATTGGAAAACGGCTTATAGTACGAGCAGAATGAAAACACAACCAACAAACATTAGTACCGTACTCCCCTCTGAGCTAGAAAGAACCAGTCCGCAGATTAAATCTACTTTTTATCATTCATTTAAGTTCACACCAGACTACTGGATGTTTCAAAGTGAGTATGAATTGTTATGATTATTGATTTACGTATAGGTTAGGTTAAATGACACCATGTGATATATCTCTGACATGTCCTCTGGTCTCCGTTTTCGGAGATCTTAAAATTAGCGATGGGGTTAGAGTTGTGCGTGTCACTTGCTTCCAGAGTTATTTAAGACTAAGGATTTCTTCACCCTGCCCTATGATACATCAAAGCACGCAATCACAACCTTCGTGATAAAACAAACTTTTTCCACAAAGCTGCCGTGATGTTCCTGGCTTATATTGAAAGTGAAGGCAAAGAATGCACATATGTATTGCACATATCCGCGGTGCTCTTATTACGCTAGTGAAAGTAAATATAATGCTAGATCTGTTCGGTTTTCTAGAACCGATTAATAGGTGCGTATTTGAGATTACATAAATGCACCATATGGCGTCCGCTAACATTCAATTTGTTAATTGTCAGTTATGCGCCATGCTATGCTGGTAGCGATTTCTATAGTTGTGAAATCGTATATCCCATACAATGTTCAAGATTATTTCCGAGATTGGTTTTAGAGATGAGCATGACTGACAGGAAATAAGTAATATTTACCGATTCTAGGAAGGTGATACAAGAATGGAGTGAAATCTGAAAATTGTTTACAAAAACATCGGATCTCTTTCTGTTGTTAATTCCCACATTTAGAACCCAAGTACAGCCGACCAGTACAAATAAAAGTAGCAGACGATGGAAATAAAAGGGTTCAACATTTTTGAAAATCACTGAGCGAATTAGTTGTATGAAACATGAACATGATCTCATTCACGATATACAGCAATAGCAGGAAAAGGAAGAAACCTGCTGATTGAGTTTATGGATCAATATTTATTCCTACGGATGATGTCTAAACCAGTAATGTAAACATAAGGTTTTGCAATTCTTTATTGGATATTTTATTCCTTATTTGGTTTCAGAATCAGGGATTTAATTCTTATTGAATTATTTAACTGTACACCCAGAATATAACTATACATATACAGACGAACTGTTTTACACCTTTTAGAGTAGAGAAGATCGCTTCCATTCTAGTCTTTGTTACGTTTGTTAAACATGTTCACGTCAGTTTTAATGTTCTTCTTTGGTTATTATAACCTTCCATTGCCTCGACGCTTAACAGGTCTCAGACTCACTATTACAAAGGCTTACTTGGCAAATATAGTATCATTTATTGTTTTTTTTATTGTGAAGCAATTTCACTGGAGTTGTTCTATATTCTATGAGTACCATTTGTTAAATATTCAATATCAAAACTATTGACTTCATTAAAATGTTTCTCTTGCCTTAAAAGAGATTAAATGAAAATTGGAAAAACCAATAAACAAATTATTATAAACTAAAGACTCTCCAACAGTTAGTCTTAGTTTCCTTCACAATATTCTATCAATCAAGTTATACCAGAATGTAGTAGATTCCCATACAAGATTGCTGAAAGATATTACTTATTTTAATTTTTAACTATATCCCATACATAGATACACATACAGCGTAGACCACCTACAAAAATCCGAATATAACAGGTATATACTATCAGCAGAAATACCACTTTGATAGTAAGCTACCAAAACTTGTTTCTTGAAAGTGTAACTTCACAGATAAGACATGTTCACTTAAACACCAGGCTAATAAATATTCGATAACGTAAGATGAAATAATTGAAAGGTAATCAGTTACGTAGAAAATATTTTATTATAAAAAGATACTTAAATATATATTAATTAACACAGTTTCTAAGTAATAATACTGCACGCGCGTTATTGCGAAAAAGGAAATGAGAGAATTAACAAACATTTCGAAATAGAAACTTTATGGTTCGTATCTTGGTAACAAGCACAGTATAGTACAAAAATAATTGTATGTAACAATCGACCCAATTAGTGTGATGTAAGGTGGAATTCAAAATTGTCTACGAATTGTTAATATACATGCACTCTGCTAATCGCTATATCTAACGAATCATATCGGCATACCTTTCCGGTATCATACGCAATACTTCATAGATTTTTGGAATACAATTCTCACAAAACTCAAGCCTTTTCTCATATCTCAACTACTGAATGATGTTATGAGCGTAATCCAACAACCCAGTTATATCTTGTTATATATTTTGTATATTATATTTTCTTGTTTTTGATACGTTAATTTTCATAATGAAAACTGGTATCACCACAAGCCATCATATATACATATACATGCGTGATGCTGATCGCAAGCCGCTTTGACTTATTTTATGACTCAACATTAAATATGATTCCTACTGGGACTTGTCATTGAGATTCTGTCTCTTCGTGAAGCAACTCATAGCTAACTGACTGGACATACCATTTCACACATTCCCAAAATTAAATACAAATTATTTTGATGGATGATTCTCTTTATTATATTTAATTTTACGGAGTCCTGTGAAGCACCAAATAAACTTCAGATATTGCGGTGGTAGATGATATGCAATATTCGCTTTGAATTCTTTCTTGCCTGAAGCTGTCATACCTACTAGATATTGATTATTTTAGACAAGTATGGAAGTCGCAATGGTCTAATTGAATGATTAACTAGTGTAGTTCAGATTTGGATAGTAGATTGCATGAGACATTTTACAGGATAATAAATTAAAAAAATCTATCTTCAAGAGAGTTATAATGTGAAGACCGAGTTTATGATTCATTTATAAGGAAGCGGTTATTGGTACTAAAGTTATTGAGTAAAAGTTTTTGATATGCTAATGGAAGACAAACATAAGCGATGTACCACGGTGCTAGAATAAAAAGTTGAAGATAGTTATGCGAATAAATTAATAACGGGAAGCGTTATTAGTGATTCTTACATCATATTCGAGCTCCATAATCTATGCTGATTTTTGTGCAATTCTTGATGATTACATGTTACTCGATGCGTTACATGTGTTGCTTTCATATTTTATCTAATTATTCTTTCCTGCATTTCAACTATGTAGTTTCAATAAGAAATAAACGCAACCCGTAGAACCTATACAGCATAAAGCCTACTAGTGAATCAGATGCGTGATGCGTGAAATGATGTCTAACTGCGGCGAATGATCGGAAAATGTTAAGCGAAAAAAAAATAAGGTGATTTAGTTTAAAGAAGCTAAATGTATGATGATAAATGTATTTGTGGAACTTATTGTGCGGTAATACTCGGTAATCATCTTTTTCTTGCCTGTCTTACGTTCAGGATGTATATTTTCGGAAACTGAAGTGATTGATAAAACCAAATTCGTGTAACTTTTGAGTGACCATATTATGAACTTGATACATCAGAGCAAAGGAATATTGATTGCGCGGACTCTTGATCGAACTTTTGTTAAAAGTTATTTCTTTCTGTTACCATCTAACTACCAATATCGAATAATGTGGCACCCTGCCCAATCATGACACCAACAAATTCCAAAATCTATGATATCTGTGCTTTGTCATATCACAAAAAATACCCATTTCATTTCCAACCAAAAAAGTAGTGTCATCTGTATAAAGAAACATCTACAGTATTAAACATAAAGCGACAGTTTCTAAAGGCACTACGAAGAAAATAATGAAGATCGACACATATACATTGAGAGACAAAAATCATTAGTAGGAAATTAACATCATTTCGAGGTACTACTTTTTTGGTTAGCAAGGTAGCTACAGTCTCTATCACAAACAGCTCTTCAACGCATATGTACAAGAAAATTTAACTATATACTGAGTATTTTATAGAAAATAGTCAATGTATTACCACATAAATACTTCTATAGATTTTGCATTTCGAGTATGTCTCAAGATGCGAGTATTTTTTTTGCAGATCGATGGAAAGGGTTGAAATAAAATCATAATTCATTATCTACGTTGATTGTTTGGTATTTGCAGTATTTATGTGGTGGCACAGGAACCATTATGTCAATCACTAATTATTGAAATTCACCTGTAAATCATAGAAACCGGGTCTGGAAAATAACGATAATCAACAACTAGTGGTACTCATGATGCCCCTCAAATCCGCCGTGGTGTTCATGCTGTTCGTACTCATGGTGATGGTGGTGAGGAATGTGCACTGGAACTGGGACTGGAACTTTGACTGGGTATGGTACTTCTTTTTCTACTGGCACTGGCACCTGGTGACAAGAACGAGATAAGTTTTACCAGGAGTTATTTATTTTATTAGCCTTTCGGTTATAGATCACTGAATATGTCGCAAACGTTTAGAATTCCGATTCGGTATAGCCCAGGACATTTAGACATGTTCTGTTTACAATACATTAGCGAAAAATATTAAATTTCTATTTCTATATTATTATTTTTTGATTTATAAAGAACAGAAGGGAAGTTACATGTCTCGAGAGAATGTCACTCAAAATTGGTTTTCTTTAAGTAATTGATGGAAGACATTCTATGAATCTTTATATTCGAGGTTGTACAAAATTTGCGAAGTTATATTAGCGCTAGTTCGTTTCTAGTGATGCAAAGGAGGAAATTGTTTTTTTCGAACATCACATCATGGGAGGCACTGATTAGTTATTATGTTGTAAAAGTTTGATTGAATCACGGTGCACGCTAATTGAGAGGCGAAGCAAAGGGAAGCGAAATGTTTCCACTGGGTTCTATTACACATAATCAAATGACAGCATATTGAGGCAAGTGGAATGTGTGACACCCAGTTTACAAATGCTGTTGTAAAATGTACATATTTGGCTCTTGTACTTTATTGTCGGCTTACCTCTTTGATGACTGGGTATGGTTTGTCAACATGCACTTTGACAGGGTAAGGTACTGGCTTCTCGACCTCATAAGGTACTTTCTTCTCAACGGTGTAGGGTTGAGGTACTGGGACCTTAACGTGGACAGGTACTGGCTTGGGAACATGGACGGGGTAAGGTTTGTCGATGGGTATTTTCACTTCGTATGGGACGGGTTTCTCTACTGGATATGGGACGTGTTTTTCAACGGTGACTGGGTAGGGTTTGGGTACGTGGACTGGGTATGGCCTGTCGACTGGGACCTTGACCTCATAGGGCACCTGAAAAAACATTTATTTTGATATATGTTTTATATAAATTCCCGATACTTTAACATGTCTGAGGTGAACAGCAAACTTTGTATTAAAGTCTGTACCAAATATCTTTTAATTGCTGTATTTTCCATGATTCTTTAACGGTTTATCGTATATTATATCCTGGTATCTTTTCTGTTCATTATCTCCTTTTTAATCTGTGACTATCATGAGTTAGAAAAATATAATTACATCAACAACTGCCTTGCTGCTTGAGTGACACGTTGGGTTGTCTAAGTTGTAATTTTATCGTCAATTCAGACTTGCTTGGATTTGACTCGTAATTTATTACGAGGTAATCAAAGAACGGGGCACGACTTATACTGTATACTAACCTTTTTCTCAACGGTGTAGGGTTGTGGGACTGGAATCTCAACCTTCACTGGGTACGGCACTTTCTTGTAGACAGTGTAGGGTTGTGGCACGGGAACCTTGACGGGCACTGGTACTTTCTTTTCAACAGTGTAGGGCTGGGGTACTGGTACTTTTACTTCGTACGGCCTTGGTACTGGCACTTTTACCTCATAAGGCACCTTCTTGATCACTTCGTATGGTTGAGGAACAATGTAGGGTACTTTCACGTACTCCTTTACAGGTACTGGGATTTTCTTTTCTACGGTGTAGGGTTGAGGGACTGGTACTTTAACTTCGTAAGGTACTTTCTTCTCAACGGTGTAGGGGACGTGCTTGATCACCTCGTAGGGTGTTGGCACTTTCTTTTCTGTGGGTAAAAGTTGAGGTTCAGTAATTCCCGTTATTGTAGTATTAAGCATAATGCCAAAAAATTAAATGGCCTTTAATTTCAACTTTGATTTTTGATTTTCGATAAATCATATTATCTACTAGGATTGTAAAAATTAGATTATCTGAAAATAACCCATATCGTATTTGTAACGGGTGATTTTTAAGAGGTATAGGATTTGATTTTCAAAAAAAAAAAACACAAAAAATTTGAAAAAACGATTAAATCTTTATTTGAGGCGATAGAACGGTCGATATAATTTAATGTTTCAAGATTATTTCATGTAAATGTTGGCCGCGGCTCCGCTTTAGATGGCCCATGCGCAAGGTCCAATATTTGCACACTCTCTCCAACATATCGGCCGGTATCTCACGAATAAATGCTTTAATATTGGCTTCCAGTGCGTCAATCGTTGCTGGTTTATCCCTGCAGACATGAGCCTCAACATGGCCCCACAAGAAATAGTCCAACGCCGTTCAATCACACGATCTAGGCGGCCAATTGACGGGCCTCAAACGTCAGATAAACTGTTCACCGAACTCGCCTCTCAATAGGGCCATTGTTTCGTGTGCGGTGTGGCATGTGGCACCGTCTTGTTGAAATTACATGTCAGCCAAGTCCAGCTCTTCCATTTTGGGCAAAAAAAGTTTGTTATCATCGCACGGTAGCGCTCGCCATTCACAATTGCGTTCCGGCCATTGTCGGCTTTGAAGAAGTACGGCCCGATGATGCCACCGGTCCATAATCCACACCAAACAGTACCCATTCCACCAGAAATGAGCTTCGTCGCTGAACACAATTTTTCGATAAAAATGTGGATCTTCCTCCAACTTTGCCAGCGCCCATTCACCAAATGGGAAACGTTGTGGGAGGTCGTGTGGCTTCAATTCTTGCACCAGCTGTATCTTATAAGGTTTTACACCCAAATCCTGTCCCAAATTTTCCACGTAGTGGAGTAACAGAGGCCCAATTGCTGCGAACGGCGGCGAATCGACATTTCACGGTCAGCACTAACACTGGCGGATACAGCCGCAATATTTTCTTCAGTCCTCACTCTACGTCTGCGTGTTGGTGGTTTAATGTCCAATAATGTAAACTGGGTTCGAAATTTAGTCACAAGCTTCCGAATAGCTCCCTCAGTAGGCCGACCAAATTGCTCATAAATTGGAAGCAGTGCTCGATGCACTCTCTTAACCGAGCATGAATTTTGATAGTAAAACTCAATAATTTGCAAGCGTTGTTCGTTCGTAAGTCGATTCATGGTTAAATTATAGACCAAACTGAACAAGTATGAAAATCACACAAGACACGATTTATGCGTCATCTGTCAAAAACAGTGTTGCCAAAAAGATACTAGCAAAAAAATCACCCATTATATTGACAAATTTATTTTATAAGATGAAATAGTAAGCAAACACCGAGAAGCTATTGCAAGCCGTCCGTCCGATGCATACTTTGCACTTTGGGAAAACTTCTAATGCTGAAAATTGTGCTCGTATTCACCGGGGTGTTACCCAGTCGACATTGCTATATCTAATTAGTAAGACTCTATCTCCAGTTTAATGATCAACTTCAAAAATATTCTGAATGAGTCTTGTGACTTTTGGTCCTTTTAGAAATATTTTAAGACCTATTTATAATTTGCGAATGATTTTAAATTATTAATGTGTCTCTAGTAGTACTGTAGCCCATTTTAAATATTTACTCTTGGGGCAGTAACGCTGAGTTTTATGTCTGGAGTCATTTTGATTGATCTCTTACTTAGGAAAATTTCGAAAATGAAATTCAACATTTTTTGGATATCCCATGTTACATTCATTCCTTGGTCTGTTGGTAGTCCGAAGTATATTTGCAAGTTTGTTCGCTAATCATTGACCCATCTACAGTTCGCAAAGTGCCGATTGTAGCTCAAAGAAATTTTGAGACAAGATTACTACTATGCCACTAATAAAAAACTGTTTTAGGTCTTAAAAATCTATTTTGTGGCGGAAAAACTATGGTCAAAACATTTGCTCAAACTTTCTTATTTAACATTTCAAAGACCCCTCCTCATATTTGGGCAATTTTTGAGGAGTAAAAAATTGGATGTGAAAGTTTGTAGGGTGGCAGGATAGAGTATATTCATTACTTTTTTCGGCGTTAGTATTCTTACGCGCTTCTGAAATACATATTTCAGACGTTAGCTGCTCTGTATATATGCCCTTTAGAAGACACTGATACAAATATTTTCAATACCCGCTTCGAGCGCAGCGAGATGAGAAGATAAACGTGTAGTGAAGGATGCTGGGCCTTGGTAGATTCACGTGTTAAGGCGTCGACTGCTGGCACATCGGCTTGAAGCCTCGCGGATTGTGATATCCCCAGTCTCAGACATGAACGCCCATAGACATTTTTTTCATGAGCGACAATTAGATATCGACAAGAAAAACTTTTTGTATATTATGATTAAGTATCATCCCCAAAAAGTCGTTCATCAGTGGGAAGCAGCATTTTTTTTCAGGAGGGCCAAAACCCACTTGACGTATTTTTTCAAATGAAACTTTTGAAGTTCCAAAATAAATCATTTCATGAACTCACCGATCACGACAGTTTTGACGTGTTCATGATGGTGATGGTGATCGTGTCCTCCGAAATCGTGATGTCCTCCAAAGTCTCCGCCGCCGAAGTCGTGACCTCCTTCGAATCCCCCGTCGTGGAACCCGTGGATGCCGCGCTTGTCTTGTTTCTTGCTCTCCTGCTCGGGCTCGGCCGCTTTCGTTTCTTCTTTCTTCTCGGGCTCGGCAGCTAGAACTGCGCACACGCACACGGCACCTAGAACCAGCTGAAAACAGAAAATATAAATATTATACTACACAAGGTTCTCAAAACATGGATCAAAACATTTAAGGAGTAGTCCAAGGGTGATCCTAGGGCATTAACAGCGGCGTACGTTGTGTTTTGTTACTCTCTTTCGTTTCGGTACCATCCAGTTACAGGTCAGGGGGTTGATTTTGGTAGTCCGGTATCAGAGAGTGTAAATAGAGGCGCAGAATCGCAGTGTGTGCTGGAACTATTACTTTGACGATTTTTAAAGGAGTTTTCCTAAATACAGAGTGAACAGTTTTTGCTAACATAAATCACAAAATGCATCAGGGTCGATTTGTACTGAGCTACATTCAGAAACTATTCGATTTTATACTGAAGTCCTGTAAATCAATAACTTTGGATGGACCTATAGGGAACCTAGTGGAGTTAAGTCCAGCGATCGTGCAAATCACGTCCTAGTCGACTTATTCAACGATCTCTGTATTATTATTTTGAACACTTAAGAGCCTCCAGATGAAATGAACTTGGAATATTTGAAAGTGTTTGATAATCTATAATACTAGACGAGGTCTGTAACTTTGCATGCTGAGTCATTTTGAACAGTCTTTGGAGATTCAGGGGCTTCTAATCTAATTTTTACTAATACAAAATGTTATTTCGGCAACATTTTGCTTGCCCTGTGTATTTGAAAAACGGCGGTCTTCGAAAATGTCCAGAGAATAAAATAAAATTTTCTATGTTACGTATATTTTGTAATTGTTCCAAAAGGCTTGGATTTTTGCTCCAGAATTAGCAATCAGTTTTAACACCTCCCTTTGAATCAAATCCGATCTAGCCGTGAAAACTTTCTGGCTCACAGGTACTCTGATGTCTGTCCTCTTTTGCAGCGACAAACATATCTTAAAAAAATCTCTTTTCTTAAATCGGAGCATTTTTGGTAAAAATTTGAGCAATAAATTATGGTTACTGGTAATTTTTCACATTCGATATTCCACAATATAGTTTCCAAGCTTTTGATCATTTTATAGTCTACACGCTTTATTGGAAGTTGTTCTAGTCACCGTTAAGCAATTGAACAAATCTTATACGATATGCTTTTCTATGTCTTGAATCAGTTTAGGGCGTATAGTGAAAAAAAATGGATAATAGCGAAGTAGAAACACTGGTACTCCCATGCTTCGATTCCAAAAAGTAACGAATATTAGATATGATTGCACTATACAGGGTGATCCGTGAAGTGTACCTCACTATCTGTTAAGCAAAATTCGAAGAGAAATTCTAAGAGAAGTGTTTGTATGTAAATAAGTAAAAGTTCATATGAGCGTTACCAAATTGATATTGAGTTGGAATGATTATACGACGGATTATTTTTTAAAAGATGTTTTATGAATGTTTATTGTTATTATGTAAATGAAATGATGAAATCTCCGGCCTCAGATCGAGATGACGTATTTAATTAATTCAGCAAAACGGTTGTAGTTTAGAGCAGTTTCATGATATTGCTCAACAAATGTTCTGAATAAACAAAACTTCATTTTAAAAAGCATTGGTGTCATATATAGTAGATGCATTTGACAGGCTTAGTAACAGCTTAGTAGAACAATTATACTTCATTGTTCTCACTCCTGTATCTAAAGTTAATAGTTGCTTCTATATCATAGCTGTTAGAACTGCCGTAACAAGGTTCAGCGAAGTTTGACATTGGTATTGTCATTAATGTAACGATTCATTATTGAAGTATGAAGAAACATTTTTACGACACTAAAAAAATAAAGTCGGAACAGACTAAGAAAAAAGCAATTTGGTTTTCTGTCATCTCCGAAATCTACTGTAATTTCCTAACAGGTACTTTTCTTTAAAAATCTGAACCTCTTTGCAGTCTATATTACTGTGAAAAAACATCAAAAGATAATTTATATCTGACATTATTTTTTTTTCCAAAAAGTGGCCAATTATTAAATAAATTCCTAAAATCTTTTCCAGAAGTGATATCAATGCCGTCATATGAACTTTTCTCATTTTAACACACACTGTCACTTGCTGTAGCTTGACAACATATCTCACTTAAACACCCTGTATAATCCACACTGTATATCCAAGCATCGGGTACGTAGCGCTTCGTATCACTTTTCATCACTGTCACTACATCGTTGAGCGTTCTCACTTTCTAGAGGGATGAAATATTACTCACCAACACCCTCATGGTAGGTGGTGCGTCGGTCGGTAGTACGAACAAGGTTTTGTTAGCCTAGAATTCATCCTGCGAAGTATATATACGGCCCACCACAAGCACGACTTTCTCGTGGAGGCGCTCGCTCGCTGACACTCACCACCATCGTTGGTACCGTCCTCGACAGTTCGTGTCTGTTTCACTTCCACATCCTCTTCTTATGCAACTATCAACCACCGTATCGTATAATAATGCCAGGCAGACGGTATGGTTCACTGATAGGGTGACCAATAATAAGGTCAGACTGAATTTTGAAGAACTGAATTCCTTTCCGAATCCTTTTTACTTCCTACTGGGCGAGGAAGTATTGCAATTAAAAAATTAGATATTACGTTTTTTGGATGTTATATAATATACACATCAGAAAAAACTGTGCCACTCATTTCCATCGGTTTGTCTGTCCATCGGTCTATCTGTCCGTTGGTGTGTGTCTGTTGGTCTGTGTGTGTGTCCTCTAATCCTTGGTCCGTCTATAACGTGCTCGGATTTTGATGAAAACTTCACACAAGATTACTGTACTATGGCAAGGACGAAAAAGCATTGTAGTTTTTCAAAATCGTTGCAGTGACGGCGGAGCTACACGTAGAAAACAAAAAAAACGGTCGAACCTTGTTTTTTATCGTTTTAGGGGATCCTGATAATTTTCAGAAAAAAAAATTGCAGCGGTTGAAAATTTAATGGTAGGAATTTCAGGGTGGTGCCAGAGAGTATATGTACAATTTTTTTGTGCTAGCAATTGATACATGTCCAATAGGTAGTCGGTAGGGCGGTAGGCTAGATAGCAACGTTGTCAAATCTGTGAACAATATGGTACTAACTGTGTGGCCCTATTTGACTGATATCCATTTAATCCCTTTGTGTGTGTGTCTGTAGCCAACTTTTTTTTAAGAGGGACTAACTTATATACTAAGTGACATATAAATCTAAACACCCAGTTTAAATGGTTTTATTTTAATAAAAGTTGGTGAATGTATTTATCTTACTGTAAATAACAAGTGAAAAAATTTTCAGCCTTATCAGTTGGACATTCCGGTTTTTATACTGCTTTTTTTTAATTCACTAACGCTTTAAAAATGAATATTTCAGCCGCAGTAAAGAATCAACGTTGGCGGATTTGGGTTCTTGACATCCTTTACGATCGGTTACGATGCCTAGAGTACGGAGACCTGTACGATTTCGTCAACTTAGTGAGTTTGATAGGGACCGTATAGTGGGACTTCGGAAAGCTGGACTTTCTTTTCGGGCAATTGCAGTTAGAGTGCAAAGAAGTGTAGACACTGTGGTTAGGTGTTGTCTGGCATGGCTTCGAGAAGGCCGTACGCAAAGAGCACTGGACGCCGCCGTAGAACAACAGACCGTGAAGATCGCCGCCTAAGATTATTGGCCTTAAGGGACCGTTTCTCCACTACCAGGTCCATTGCAAATGAATGGTTTGCAGAACACGGAAGACCTATTGGCAAGTGAAGTGTTTACCGACGAATGAGAAGTTTTGGCTTGTTTTCATGCCGGCCACACTGGGTCCTCCCTTTAACTTGAGAACACCGACGAAATCGCCTTGAGTGGTGCAGACAACGGTCACTCTGGGATCAGGAATGGAACAGTATTGTCTTTAGTGACGAGTCTCGATTTTGTTTAGGCATGCACGATGGTCGTGCCAGGGTTAGAAGGCGACGTGGTGAAAGGAGGAATCAACAGTTTTTTGTTGAAAGACATGTTCATCACACTGTTGGAGTTATGGTTTGGGGTGCTATAGCTTATGGTTCCAGGTCACCTTTAATCTTCATCAGAGGTAAAATGAACGCGCAGCGTTATATCCACGAAGTTCTAGAACCCCATCTTTTACCCTATCTTGACACCCTGGCAGATCCAACTTTCCAACAAGATAATGCCACATGTTGCAAGAGTCACAATAGACTTCTTTCAACATAATGATGTCACGTTGTTACCATGGCCACCAAAATCTCCCGACTTATCCCCAATTGAGCACGTGTGGGATATGATGGGTAGGAGATTGCTCAATTTGCAACGTCCTCTACAGACTCTAGAAGCACTTCGAGAGGAGTTGGTGGTTGCCTGGAATGAGATACCACAGGAGGACATTGACCACCTGATCAGAAGCATGCGCGTTGTAGAATGCGCAGCACATCAGGGTGCATCCACACATTATTAAAGGTCAAAGGGCTTTAAAGCAGTGCAATCATTTTCAAATTTTTATCATTTACTTATTATGCTTCATTAAGTACTTATACAAAATTTTATTAAAATAAAACCATTTAAACTGGGTGTTCGGATTTATATGTCACTTAGTATATAATCCTCTATGAATTGACAATAGCATTGTATAGGAAGTGCAGAGTCAACCTATTTGACAGCATTTTTCGACTGCGCACGTTGGAAACAAAACATAACTTCCAAACATAAAATGATACCGAAACTTGGTTTCTAATATTTTTGAGACGGTACAACTCCTACCAATGATAAGCCAGAAATGTTTAAACTCACTTAAGGTCTATAGGACTCCATTGTATGGCGGTGTCAATCCACGCAAATATTTAAATACATATTTATTGTACGACGTTTCGGTCACCACCTTGCCTTCTACAAGTACAATAACAGTATATTTTGTTATTTGCTTCCCAGGTGACACATCATTTATTTTTTCTTCTCTTTATTCCTATACAGTGTTGCGACAAAAAATTGAATGGTCCTGTAGCATTCCGAGATCGCGTCAAGCCATCATTACAATTTTAAGATGGCACCACGTAAAACCAGAAAAGCTCAGGATGAACTGGGTCAGGCATTCCCACTCCCAAAAGGACATCTAGCCCCAACTTGAAGTTCGCCTGAAGAAAGCCTTTAAGGCTTCAGGTAGGTTTCTTCGTTGCCTAACGTCAATATACTCAGCAAAGATTCAGATGACACTAGGGTAGCTAATAATAATATAATAACTATAATAATAATAATCGTATTTATTGGGGGAGAAGTTTAGCATAGGGCTATTCTGCCACTTAACCCCAAAACAACTGTACAAAACACAAAACATAGATTTCAATGTTACAATAATGTACTAAAACAAAGGTATATAAAAATGCGTATAAAACATTTTGTATACCTAAGCATACCTTGAAAGAAAATATAGCAGATATGTATATAAATATATGAATTATAATTAGCATTGAACATTTTTGTAAAGTCACAGGTGAATATGAGTAAATCATCATGAAGAATATTTAACCACAATATAGTTTTTGACATGTCTTTTAAATTCATCATATGTTAACAATCTTAAGGTTTGGTTTTTAGATATTAGTTTACTTTTCAAAAACGGAGGTACGGATGTGAGTGATAGTTCATGGGTATAACAAATTAAGTGTAATTGATACTTTTATCCTCATATCCTCAACCACCCCATCCCTTTTATGAAAGAGCTGATGTGCTCGTACTTCCTTAAGTTGTAGATCAATCTGCAACAAACATTTTGAATTTGTTGGAGACGTGCACAGGATGTTGTATCTAGAAATGGTAGGTAAGCTACGTGAATTTTAACATGACTAACGATTCACACATTTTTTTAAATTATAGTTAAAAAAAGCGACGGAAACAACCAGCAAGATACCTCTGTCCGTTTAGCCCTTCATCAATTATGAGAGGAAAGAGCAACATAAAGGTCTACGAATTCTCACGGGGCAAGAAAAATCTCATAATAGCTGCCTTACATCCAAAACTGCCATCGGGTGCTCTGAAATGTATACTGAAATCCTCAGAAGTTTCCAAAAATATAAATAACTTTTAAATATGTGATATTTCACATATAAATTTCGACCTGATTAGTTGCACTGGATTAATGCCAGGCGGGTAATATAGTTTATTCACAACGACCACGAACTAGATCAAAACTGATTTCGTAATATTGGCCGGCTCTAGGCAGTTCTGAGAATTGTCCTCCATCCATCTGTTTCGTAACGAAGAGATGAACTGGTCGAGAACGCAATCCCCCCAAACTCAAATATCGCTGGATGAATATAGAGACAGAAAGAGAATGTGGCAAAATAAAGTTCAGAATAATTGTAAACTCCCTATGCTTCAAAATAACAGGCATCTCCAAAATGTACTGGCATACCTGTGCCGACACATAGACAGCTAAATATACTAAGTGACATATAAATCCGAACACCCAGTTTAAATGGTTTTATTTTAATAAAATTTTGTATAAGTACTTAATGAAGCATAATAAGTAAATGATAAAAATTTCAAAATGATTGCACTGCTTTAAAGCCCTTTGACCTTTAATAATGTGGATGCACCCTGATGTGCTGCGCATTCTCCAACGCGCATGCTTCTGATCAGGTGGTCAATGTCCTCCTGTGGTATCTCATTCCAGGCAACCACCAACTCCTCTCGAAGTGCTTCTAGAGTCTGAGGAGGACGTTGCAAATTGAGCAATCTCCTACCCATCATATCCCACACGTGCTCAATTGGGGATAAGTCGGGAGATCTTGGTGGCCATGGTAATAATGTGACATCATTATGTTGAAAGAAGTCTATTGTGACTCTTGCAACATGTGGTCGGGCATTATCTTGTTGGGAAGTTGGATCTGCCAGGGTATCAAGATAGGGCAAAAAGATGGTGTTCTAGAACTTCGTGGATATAACGCTGCGCGTTCATGTTACCTCTGATCAAGATTAAAGGTGACCTGCAACCATAAGCTATAGCACCCCAAACCATAACTCCAACAGTGTGATGAACATGTCTTTCAACAAAAAACTGTGGATTCCTCCTTTCACCACGTCGAGTTCTAACCCTGGCACGACCATCGTGCATGCCTAAACAAAATCGAGACTCGTCACTGAAAACAATACTGTTCCATTCCTGATCCCAGAGTGACCGTGGTCTGCACCACTCAAGGCGATTACGTCGGTGTTCTCGAGTTAAAGGGAGGACCCAGTGTAGCCGGTATGAAAACAAGCCAAAACTTCTCATTCGTCGGTAAACACTTCGCATGCCAATAGGTCTTCCGTGTTCTGCAAACCATTCATTTGCAATGGACCTGGTAGTGGAGAAACGGTCCCTTAAGGCCAATAATCTTAGGCGGCGATCTTCACGGTCTGTTGTTCTACGGCGGCGTCCAGTGTCCCTTGCTCTTTGCGTACGGCCTTCTCGAAGCCATGCCTGACAACACCTAATCACAGTGTCTACACTTCTTTGCACTCTAACTGCAATTGCCCGAAAAGAAAGTCCAGCTTCCCGAAGTCCCACTATACGGCCCCTATCAAACTCACTAAGTTGACGAAATCGTACAGGTCTCCGTTTTTTTTTTTTTTTTTTTTTTTTTTTATATCGAAACAGCCGCGCAGGCAGAAGCCTAAATGCCGGAACACCGCGGTTGCTATGATGATCCCAAAGAAATTTTGTTAATACGATTTTTGAACTGCCTAAGGTTAGTAGAACTGGGAAAAGCTTCCTCCCGTAGTTTGTTCCACAATCTAGACACCTTCGGGACAAAGGAGCGGTCGTATCGGCCAGTTCTGGATGTACGAAGTTTGACACGGTTAGGATGGGACGCCGAAGTCAGGCGGGTCTGTCTGGCAGGCACATCGCGCGGCGGCATCATGGAAGAGAGCTCTGAGGAGCAAAGCCCGTTGGTGTAGCGATAGAAAAGAGCTAGATCGCCGACGGCCCGCCGGTGCGAAAGAGTCCCGAGACTGTCTGTTAGAGAAGAGTCATCGATCAGTCGGACTGCCCTCCTCTGGACAGCATCGAGCATGGACAATGTAGTCGGTGCGGCAGCACCCCAAATGTGTGAGCAATACTCGAGGCTAGGCCTTATCTGGGCCTTGTATAGAGTGAGAAGGTCATGCGGAGAAAAGTACTTCTTAGCCCTAAACAAATAGCCTAGCTTTTTCCCAGCAGCTGCAGCTATTGAAGAGATGTGTTCGTGCCAGATCAGGTCCTCGGTGATCTGGACTCCGACCAGCCGAAATGAATGGCTCTTTGCTAGAACTCGACCGTCCATCGAAACTGTATGAGCGCTAGGACGCTTTTTGTTCGTCAAAGTACAGTACTGTGTTTTGGAAGCATTGAACTGTACAAGATTGTTGCGTCCCCAAGCAGTGATAGCCTCCAGGTCTCTTGTCAGAGAAGAAGTCGTCGCTAGTCTTCTTTTTTCCAGCTCAGCGGCAGAGATCGGCTTGTCACTCTGAATTCCTGCATGTAGAGTGCTGTCATCAGCGAAGCTGTGGATTGGGTTGATCGTGCAGGAAAGGAGGTCGTTGATATGTAAGAGAAACAGTGTTGGAGCCAAGACTGATCCCTGGGGAACACCCGCGTTGACGTTGTGGGATGAAGAGGAGAATCCGTCAATTACGACGGATATCTTGCGGCCGGAGATAAAGTCAGCCACCCATCTGCAAAGCTTTTCTGGGAGGCCGTAGGATGGAAGTTTGCTCAAGAGGGCAGCGTGCCACAGCTGATCGAACGCTTTCGTGATGTCAAGAGCAACGACATGAGCCTCACCATGAGACTGGATGAGTTTACTCCACAGTTGCGTGACGTAAGCTAGGAGGTCCCCTGTGGATCGTTGGTGCCGGAAACCGTACTGCCTGTCGCTAATCAAGCTGTGACGTTCGAGGTAGTCCAGAAGCTCGCGATTTATGCACCTCTCCATCACTTTACTTATAACAGAAAGCAGAGCTATAGGCCTGTAGTTGTAAGGGTCGGTTTTAGATCCTTTTTTTTGGATGGGCTGTACATGAGCAAATTTCCAGTTTTCTGGGAAGGTGCCGGATTCATAAGATATCTGGAAGAGACGCGAAAGAACTGGAGCAAGCTCAGCTGCACATCTCTTCAGTACAATGGCAGGAATCAAGTCCGGACCAGAAGCTTTGTTGATGTCGAGCGACAAGAGCACTCGTCTTACGGTCTTATGCCTGAATGTTACCTCCCGCATAGTATGGGGAACCCTTTGAATTGACGGCACTTGGGCGTTGGTGGGGACGTCCATGGTGGAGTTGGCAGCAAAGATCTTGGCTAGCACTTCCGCCTTGGCCTTTGAGTCGAATACAATAGTTCCATCCTGACACGTAAGTGGTGGAAGGCTACTGTGTGAGAAGTTCTTTTCAATCTGCTTGGCCAGCGTCCAGAAAGACCGACTGCCATTGCGCTGCGACATTACCCTGTGCCTAACTTTTATATCATGCTGGTTTTTGGCATTGCGAATCGCTTCGTTATATTTGTTTCTGGACTCGACGTCGGCTTGTCTGTTCTCTACAGTGGGGTTTTGTAAGTAGGTTCTGTGGGCCTTGATCTTCTGCTGGCGAGCAGTGTCACACGATTTGTTGAACCAGCCGTTGGACCCTGGTTTAGGAACTTTCACTGTGTGAGGGATGTATTCCTCCATTCCGACGTGGATAATTTCGGTTATTGAAGAACAGACAGTCGACGCATCCGCGTCAGTGAAACAGACATCTCTCCAAGGAAAGCTAGAGAAGAAGTCTCTGAGCCCCTCCCAGTCGGCATGTCCGTAATGCCAAGTTTTGCGGCCTGTGCGAGTTTCTGCGGCCACAGCGGCTTCTGACCGAAACCTAACCTCCACAACACCGTGATCTGAGTTACCCAGGGGGGACAGGACAGCAGTGCTGTAAGGGGCAGGATGCGTGGTCAGAAAGAGATCCAGCAGGCTACTGGCGTGTGACGAGACGCGGGGGAAAAAAGTAGGGCTCGTCACCAGCTGGGTCAGCCCTTGAGTAAGAGCGAACGCTTCGACTGCACGACCTGCTGCATCGGTCTTATTTGAGCCCAACCAAAGCTCATTATGGGCATTGAAATCACCGAGAAGAACTACCTCTGAAGCGGGGTGATTGATGTTCAGAAAGTCGATCTGGACGGCGAGGTATTCGAGTAGGTCATCCCAGTTATGGTTCGAGGGAGAGCGATAAAGGCAGCAAATAAATTTGGGTGATGTTTTGGAGTTGAGGCGAAGCCACAGAATGTCCTTCCGGTCTGTTTCCAAAGAAAGATCCCTGGAGCAGGAAAGACTGCTGCGGACAAAAGCCACAACTCCCCCGTTCTTTCTCAGATTGGAGTGCACCTCGTAGTTTGGGAAGTTGAGATGGTTAATCGGTGCAGCCTCTGAGATTTTTGTCTCCGCCAAGAAAAACACGGCGGGACGATTGGATTGCAGGTAGTGATGAACAGCATCAATGTTTCTGTTGATCCCGCAGATGTTCGAAAAACAAATTTTATCTTCGATGTTGTTCCCTCGAGCCCACCCTCCACCCGGACATTCCGAGAGTGGAGTGAGTTTACGTCCGGAGTTTTTAGTGCTCGAGGGATCCATCATCATTAATTTCTTTGTTTTGGTAGATAACCGACTGCTTAGCTTAGGTGTGGAAACATGCGGACATTTATAAGACACCCTGGGAAAAGCTAGCGGGTGGTACTGCCTCGGTCGACTGGTCCTTGTCTACCACCTTCTTTTTACGTATTAGTGATGTTTAATAGACCTAAAGTGGCCCGTTGGCGGACTTGTACCGCCACCCGGCAATCGGTACTGAGGTATTCCTTAACGCGTGCGCAATCACTTGGACGGGAAGAAGTTGTATACTGGATACAACGACTTCCGGAACAAGCATTTGCCACGGCCCTCGCTCAGTAGGGGATCTCTAGGCATCGTAACCGATCGTAAAGGATGTCAAGAACCAAAATCCGCCAACGTTGATTCTTTACTGCGGCTGAAATATTCATTTTTAGAGCGTTAGTGAATAAAAAAAAGCAGGATAAAAACCGGAATGTCCAACTGATAAGGCTGAAAATTTTTTCACTTGTTATTTACAGTAAGATAAATACATTCACCAACTTTTATTAAAATAAAACCATTTAAACTGGGTGTTCGGATTTATATGTCACTTAGTATAAGTCGAATGGCCATCAGATAGGCTGGAGATGAGTAAGATCGATTTTGCTTTTGTAGAGATCAAAAAACATCCATGCAGTTTGAATTTCCACGAATACACGTTTACTTCCAAAAAACACGCACACGACAGTATGATCAGATTAGAGGCGGGTGTTAATCATATATCCATTACCATTTTTGAAATGCTAATAGACTAGATTTTGGAATTCCGAGCAATGGATAACAAACGCTACCCACGACAGAGCTTTTTGCGACAGTGCACAGATTATACTGAGGGTACGTTCAGTTGAACCGCACAGGTACAACAAATATTTGTGACTCTGGGATATTCTGGCTTATGGGATCTTATCTTATCTTCGCCACAATTTGCAAGCTCGGCATCAGAGCGAGGTTTTAGAAATATCTGAACTTTTCATGTTTCAGCGAGAGAAACTTGCAGTCACTAGCTCCAGGCTTCCTATACCTTTAACCGCTTTACAGCAGCGAGGGACTATCCGAGCAAACACATGTTGTTCATGATTCCCAGTGTAATGGCTCAACTATGACTGGCAAATAATTTAATAATAATAATAATAAATGGCCTTTATTCGTCAGAGCATTAAAAAATAATTGGCTTAATAGGAATAGTGACGGAAAGGTGGAGTGTCAGCTGACGCTGTTTCTTAACCCGACCTAAAAAACATTGACACAAACTATAAAGAGAAAAAAGTACCTACATTCAAATGGCACAGTTCACAACATTGACCACCAAAAAGAGAAAAGCTTAAAATATTACACTTCTCAGAAAAAGGAAACAATCAATTACCTGTGGATATTCGTAAAGTTAAATTCTAGCCATCCGATTGCTTTAAGCTCATCTTTAACCATTTTTTGAAGTTGCGTAAATTCTCATTCAAGAGAACTACGCATACTATAATACTATAATACTTGGAACTTTGTGCGATCTGCAATATGCAAGTTTATGAGACATTCACGCACATAGGTATATCTAGAGTGCCTCATGTATCATCAAATAAGGCCGGCTGAACGAAGGAGTGATGTTGGTATTTAATCTCTCTCCGCCATGCTTGACAGAATTACACCAGACGGAGCAATGGCACTGTATAATTTCACATGCAGGACACTAGCTTTGGGGTCAGTTGCCATAAATGAGTAAGTCGGGACAAATGCTGTATAGTGTATTCTAGTGTGTTATCTAGAGTAACTGATTTTTTCTAATCTCCTTGAACAATATTTTTCAATTTAATCATTCCTCTTAAAGTACCAACCAAACCTCTTTCTGTATTGTATTTTTATCTCAAAATTAACAAACTCAACCAAGTCGTCGATCCGCACGGGTATTACGTATCTTGAAAAGTGGCATTTTGCCGATTTTTTTGACATTATGTAGGTTTTTCTACAATATGTTAACTTAGCTGATTGACACGTTGTGAACTCGTTTTGTAGTTGTACGTGTTGCCTAAGTCTCATGAGGCTTCAGTTATCACTGTTTGGATCCGATGTGATGTAAAATCTGCATTACTGGAGGTCTAAGCTGTAAGTTGTTTGTGTTGATGATAATTCTATTGGATTCTTGTCCCAAATACACTTACTTGAGATTCAAAGCTAGAAATTAGTTGCGAATCCACTTTTTCTTATCCATTGTGGGAATTACAAATGCAAATTTGATGAATTTCAAAAATGAGAGAGATACGAAATAATTATATTCATATATGATGATGATTTCCTGTAATTCTACTCAAAGTTTTTCGTAATGTATAACTTTGAACATAACCTGTCTTCAAAAAGGTCAACATATAAATAACCCGTCGGGCACAGCTAATAGATACTTCATTGGCAGCATATGCAGTAATGATTTTCTCACACAACAAATATCACTGATTTTATACACATGCACACCAATACCCATTATCATCCAGATGCGATCTTGCTAGTCAACCAGCTTTCTTCTCAGAGATAAAAACTACAGACTACTCGGCTCCACAATATATGCAACCAAGAGTGCGTGTAGTTTAGCTGAGTGATTCTTCCATAGATGGACGTTCACAACGATCCTAGTGAGCAATTGTGGAATGACTGTTTGCGGCCTAAAAACCACCTAGTCTGCAAGATGACATCTAATAGATTTTTTTTGACGTTTTATAGGTGTTTTACATAATACCCGTGCCGACCGCCTAACTTGTGCACTAGCTAGTCGCTAGCCCATTCCTCACGTATGGGCTGTGCACGCAACCTATGGAGGAATGGCACAACGACCCATAGTATAAAACCTGCGGCTTAGGCCATATTACCTATAAATGGATTTCGTTAGTGCCGTTTCTGAAGCAGCAACTCGTAGGACAAGCATCTTGACCTCTAGGCAACACACACAGCTACTACAAGTAAACATAAGATAGATATCTAGTTCCAAAGTAAAAATTATGGCTATCAGGTCGCTAACCGAGTCATTTTGTAGATACGTAATAAAGGTGTGGCGTGGATAAAGGTTTCGACTAACAATAAGATATATGACGTACCAGTAGCATAACAGACACATAAAAAATATTCTTGGCTTAAACTACACCGGTGGTTCAGAAACTGGGTTTTCTACAAAAAGAAAAACATAAATTTTTACTATTTACCACGCTACCAACTTTTTCAGAACACCAACGAGTTGTGTTCCTTGAGAAATGTTTGTTAGATCATTCTTTTTGAAGGAGCTCTGAGTATTTGAGGTAAAGTGGATATTAATAACTTGATGTAAATTCATGTGGGGGAGTTTCCTTTTCTCCACGTATAGATTTTGAATGGGCGGTTTCTCCTCGTAGCATATAGAACAAAATCTTAAGATAGCCGATTATTCGGAGCCGTGTTGATTTGGTTTCCTTGTACAAACTGCTAGGTATACAGGCCGTGTATCGCGGTGGGCACAGTAGGAGACCTAGACTACACCAAATGGTGCAAACTGAGGTAGGATTATTGAATCTTGTAGAAAAGAATCCTTCAACAAGCTTCCCTAGGACCTGGACAAGTGCAAGTCTCCAAGAACAAAGTGTACCCATTTGTACAAGCCACGGGTTTTCCTGCGTAAGTGCGTTTTCTTTTTGAGCAGTTGTTGCACAAACATGTAAATAATCTGAGGTTGAAGTTCAAGTCCGTATTAGTCAGAGACGAATCAACTTCCACCCGCAACGGAGTGAATAACTTCCGACATACTCATGTGTGGTAATCCGAAAATATTGACGTAGTCCGTAGGTTACATTTTCAACAATTATCTTCTTTGAATGCTTGGGTATCGTGGCAAATGGTATGGTCATTGGATCTTTTATTTTCCCGAATCGGCTGGACGTTTTATAATACCTACAGTATATTCAGATAAGAGATAGACCGGACATAAACAAGACCACGTGATCATCGAACGCTGTAACATTCGGCAGGGACGTATTAAGAGTCACGCAGTACATATTTTAGATAGTAGATGATGCTTTGCGTAACTTTGTAGTAAATTAGCACAATTCGTACATACTTTACTTGTAGTGTGTCCTGCGTTTACCCACGTCTCATCAAGGTAATAAATCTTCCTGTTTTGATTTCTATATTTCCCAATTTTTGTTAAATAATCCCTTCTCCATAGCACAATTTCTTCTCTATCCAGTAGTAAACTATTACGACCCCGTTTTTTCCATTTGAAAATTAATGCTTCAGTAACGCATGGAAAGTTGATCGTTTGAAATTTGGCAACGTTGTATCTCCATTTACCTCCTGCAGTACTTTATCTATAGTAGGTATTTCATTCCTAAAGAAGAATTCATGCACTTTCCTCCTAATCGCATGCTTATCAGCTTCATCCAATGATTTAACAATACTTTTGCGATGTTTACTGGTCATTGGCTCAGAAAAGGTGTGATTTTTTTTGTATTGTCTTAACACATTAAACACTGATGCGCGACACACCCCAACTTTGTGAGAAACCTTCACAACAATTTCTTTGATGGTTGATGCCTCGTTCTCCTCGCGCTCGATCTTATATATATTCAAAATGACCTCTTTCATTTCTGCACTCAGGTGTCTTTTTTTAGAGCGTTTCCTAGGTGGACTACAGGAGTTTACAACTTCATCGGCAGTATCTGTACTACTGGGCATTTTGCGCAAGCAGTTGATAACAATAACAATCAATAACAAGGTATAACAATAACAAGGACAAACTCAACAACTTAATAAGATAACAAACGAAAACGTCCAAAGAAATATCAAATTGCAATGATGCACACGACATACGTTACACGTCTGAACCTGAATGTGACTCTGCCTTGATACGACTGCTCTGCCGCTCGGCATAGGCATTTAATTGCGAATTGACCAATGAGGGCTCCTGTTTTACGTTGAGACGGCGGCGTTAGCGTGAAAATCACCCGAACCTTTTGTTTACATCCGGTCTATCTCTTATCTGAATATACTGTAGACTTTCTACGAAACATTTTACCAACGGTGACAACTTCGAACAGTGTCAGAGCCGTACCTGAAATTTCTCTGCAAATCAACGACGGGTACTTTTTCATTATTTTTTTTTACTTTTTTCTCTACTGTTTGACCTCAGCTTTGCTGTTTTAAGAGTATTTAGCTGTATCTGAAAATGGAAGTCCCAACTTTCAGGACACCTTGTTTCTGAATACGAGTACTATTCATTGAATTTTCATTTCATTTAGCAAATAAAGGTCCGATATCAAAATCTAATTTATGTATCGGGACTACCTTCAAATATCGATATTTGGCGCGTAGCTAATAACATTGCATCAGCAATATATTCATATTATAACTCTTAGTCCAGGCTTATGATATTTCAAAATATTATAGTAATCATGCAATATGAAACACGGTGTGTATATATTATGTAGGTATGCAGATTTTATTTATAATAACTTAAAGAGGAGGGAAAGGTCAGGAACCTGTTCCGACAGTTGTAAACAAGAATATGAACACCTACCGACAAAATCAATATAATTAATGACAACACTATCAACAGTTGCATGAAACTGCCTGAGGAGGTTGTTAGAAATACAATTCATGAATATTAACAACAAAAGGTTAAAGGCACAGGTGATATGGAGATGCAATTATAGTAAAGCCGAACACTGACGCGAAACACTTTAGGTTCTGGGTAGACCTATGCAATTGAAAATTTGCAGGTATCGACATTTTATTTTATTCAGCATCATGCATTTTTAGAATGAAGAAGAAACTGCAAGTGTCCGTTTTCAAATCGCAGGCCAGCTGTATTTTCACCGCTAGACGGAGGTTAACTCCCAAACAGCTATTTTCAGTGTTAACTTTCCCTAAAATGGTGAGTAGCTATCATATGGTAGTAAATAACTTGAGCCATTTCGTCGACCTTTGCCGCACGGGTATTATGTATATACCTATAAAACGTAAAAAAAAAACGTATAAAATGTCATCTTGCAGACTAGGTAGTTTTTAGGGTGCAAACAGCCATTGCACGTTTGCTCTCTAGGGGGATCGTTGTGACCGTCCATCTATGGAGG